CTGAATACGTTATTTTTTCAGCTTACATCCTTAAGATGTACAATAGGAGAACAAGAACGTGTCGAACTTCTACTTCAAAGTCTACCTGATTCGTATGATCAACTCATCATCAACTTGACAAATAGTAATGTAACCAGTCTAGTCTTCGATGACGTTGCAACTGCTGTTCTACAAGAAGAAAATTGGCGCAAGAACAAGGAAGATAGACAAGTAAATCTGCAACAAGCAGAAGCGTTGACAACGATGAGATAGAGATCAACAGAACGTGGCCAAAACAGCAGTCACAAACATGGTAGATCGAAGTCAAGAAGCAAGAAGAATTTAAAGTGCTACAACTGTAGAAAGAATGGTCACTTGAAGAAGGATTATTGAAGTCTAATAAAAACTCCAATCCACAAGGCAATACCGTAAACACTTCATGATGGAGATACTCTATGTTGTGAAGCGTCAACCACCGTGGAAGGTAGAAAAAGATTTGTAGATATATGGCTCATTGATTCGGGAGCAACATATCACATAACCTCAAGAAGAGAATGGTTCCATCATTATGAACTTGTCTCAGGAGGATCTGTGTATAGTTGCAATTATCATGCCTTAGAGATTGTAGGCGTGGGAACCATCAATTTGAAAATGTATGATGGAACAATTAAAGTTGTTCGAGATGTGCGGCACGTGAAAGGCCTGAAGAAAAATTTATTATCCTACGGATTGTTGGATAATAATGCAAGCAAGATTAAAACATAGAAAGGAATCAGGAAGGTATTTTGTGGAGCGCTTATGGTGATGAAAGGTGAAAAGATAGCAGCAAACTTGTACATGCTGAAGGGAGAGACTTTGCTAGAAGCAGAAGCCTCTGTTGCCTCATGTAGTTCAGATTCTGCAATGTTATGGCATCAGAAACTTGGATACATGTCAGAACAAGGAATGAAAGTCCTTGTGGAGTAAAAGCTACTTCCAGGCTTAACAAAGGTATCACTTCCTTTGTGTGAGCATTGTATAACAAGTAAGCAACACCGGTTGAAATTCAACACATCAAATTCTAGAGGCAAAAGTGTTCTAGAATTGGTTCACTGACGTATGGCAAGCACCAGTTACATCCCTAGACGAAGCAAAATATTTTGTCTCATTTATTGATGACTACTCCAGGAGATGTTGGGCGTACCCTATTAAAAAGAAGTCATATGTGTTTTCTACTTTCAAAAACTTCAAACTGCGGGTGGAACTTGATTCTGGAAATAAGATCAAGTGTTTCAGAACATATAATGGAGGAGAATACACAAGTGAAGAATTTGATGACTTTTGCAGGAAAGAATGCATTAAAAGACAGTTCACAATGGCGAACACTCCTCAACAAAATGGAGTGGCAGAGCGGATAAACAGAACCTTATTAGAAAGAACAAGAGCAATGTTGAGGGCTACAGACCTAGAAAAATCATTTTAGGCAGAAGCAGCCAATACCGTCTGTTATTGGGTGAATCGAGCTCCATCAACTGTAATAGAGCTAAAAACACCAATGAAGATGTGGACTGGTAAACCAGCTGATTATTCAAACCTCCATGTATTTGGAAGTATTGTGTACGTGATATACAACTCCCAAGAAATTTCAAAGTTGGATCCAAAATCCAGGAAATGCAAATTCTTGGGGTATGCTGATGGAGTAAATGGGTATCGCTTGTGGGATCCCACTGCCCGCAAAGTGGTTATTAGCAGGGATGTTATCTTTGTAGAAGATAAACTACAAAGAAAAGAAGAAGATGATAGCACTGAAAAGTCAGAGACTACACAGATACATGTGGAAAAGGAGTTTGAACAATGAGATTCTTTTGAAGCGGAACCAGCACATTATGAACAAGAACCAGATAGTTCTTAAGCTCCAACAACTCGTCAATCAGATCGTGTGAGAAGACGTCCCAATTGGCACTTAGATTATGTTATAGAAGGAAATATTGCATACTGCCTTTTAACAGAGGAAGGTGAGCCATCAACATACCAGGAGGCAATAAACAGCTCAGATGCTTCACTGTGGATGATGGCAATGCAAGAAGAAATCGAAGCCCTTCATAAAAATAATACATGGGACCTTGTGTGACTACCACAAGGAATGAATACAATTGGTAACAAATGGGTCTTCAAAATCAAGTGAATTGGTGACGATCAAGTGGCGAGGTATCGTACAAGACTGGTGGTCAAAGGATATGCTCAAAAAGAATGTATTGATTTCAATGAAATATTTTCTCCTGTGGTTCGACTAACAATAGTTCGAGTAGTCTTAGCAATGTGTGCTACATTGCTAGATGTTAAAACAGTTTTTCTTCACGGAAATCTTGAAGAAGAGATTTACATGCTCCAGCCTGAAGTTTTTGAAGAAAAAGAAAAGAATAACTTGGTTTGCAGGTTGAACAAATCTCTGTACGGTCTAAAGCAGGCGCCGAGGTGTTGGTATAAGAGATTTGATTCCTTCATTATGTGCCTTGGATACAACAAACTTAATGCAGACTCTTGTGCTTATTTCAAGAGGTTTGGTGATAACAATTTTGTTATATTGATGTTGTATGTGGATGACATGTTGGTTGCAGGACCCAACAAAGATCATATTGAAGAATTGAAGGCACAACTGACTAGGAAATTTGAAATGAAGGAGTTGGGATCAGAAAATAAGATTCTAGGGATGCAAATTCTCCGAGATAGAAGTAATTAGAAGATTTGGCTTTCACAAAAGAATTACTTAAAGAATATTTTGTCACGATTCAACATGCAAGATTGTAAGTCAATTTCTACCCCTATTCCTATTAACTTCAAATTATTCTCAAGTATGAGTCCTAGCAGTGAAGAAGAGATGATGGCGATGTCTCGATTATCGTATGCACAACAGTGGGAAGTTTAATGTTCGTTATGATATCCACAAGACCAGGCATTGCACAGGCAGTGGGAGTGGTTAGTCGGTACATGGCGAATCCAGGCAAAGAGCATTGGAATACAGTAAAGAGGATCCTGAGATACATTAAAGGGACTTCAAATGTTGCATTATGTTATGGAGGATCTTACTTATCAATGGGTATCTTGATTCTGACTATGCAGGTGATTTGGATAAAAAAAATCTACTACAAGATATGTGTTCAATGTTGCTGGTGGAGCTGTAAGCTGGGTTTTAAAATTGCAGTCAGTTGTGGCTATATCCACAATAGAGGCAGAATATGTAGCAGCTACACAAGCCAATAAAGAAGCAATTTGGTTGAAGATGCTATTGGAGGAGCTTGGGCACAATCAAGAATATGTCTCTTTGTTTTATTATAGTCAAAGCGCCTTGCATCTAGCAAGGAATCCAACATTTCATTCAAACACAAAGCACATACGAGTTCAGTACGATTTTATTCTTGAAAAGGTGGAAGAAGGGACAATAGATATGCAGAAAATACATACCAAAGACAACATAACAGATTTCATGACGAAGGCAATCAATGTTGATAAATTTACTTGGTGCCGATCCTCTTGTGGCATGTCAGAGACGTAAGCAACATGATGGTACAAGGTAGAAAGAATGGTGTGAAGATATGATTGTTCCAATCAAATCTTCAAGTGGGAGATTGTTGAAAGTCATCAATAATGGCTTAAATCAGTGGCTTTCAGTGCACACCAAAAATTGTGGAAAATATAGCTTATTTTGTTGACATTTGATAAAGGGATAATTTCAATTTAGTTCCTGTACTTTAGGGTATAAGATTAGTCCTTAAGCTTCAACTATAAATACCCTAGCTTATTTAACTTCAAAATCATCCCGAATCATTCTAGATTTCTCTCATTACTAGAGAGTTTAGAGAGTTTCTTGAGAGTTATCTTCTCCTTTTTATCAAGAGAGAATTATCATTGTTTTCTCCTTGTTAGATTGAGAGAAGTTGTAATTCTTATTTTCTCATAGTGAAATTCTTCTACCGTTGCCCGTGGTTTTTACCCTATTTATTTAGGAGTTTTTCACGTAAAATTTGTGTCTTTTTTTTCATTTTTATTTTCTCAAATTATCAGTTGCGATTTTGCTCTATCCGATAGCCGTATTCCGCAACACGTGTTGGTTTTAAAAGCTTAGTGATTGGCTCCAATGCTTCAAGCATCTAAACTTAAATGGAAGAAACTTGTATAACCTACAATAATGACCTTTTTCTAATATTTTATTTTAAAAAATGCAAATATTCTCTCTCATCCCAAAGTAAATTCTATTTATTGAACCCTAAAAAAGCAGAAATGTCTTCCACGTCTCATTTGGAATAAAAGGATTCGGCTTCACCAGACAGTTCTTAACCATCAAAACAAATACTATTCTCTTGACTCTTTATCAATATAGATCAATTGAGCTAAAAGCGTATTGATTACATAAACTATAGTAATAAAAAATAGTAATTCGATTAATATTATTCTTCCTATTGTAATATAGAAAAAAATACTATTAAGTTAGAACCGGTTCAACTTAGGTTGGATTTGTTGAACAGTGTCCTTTTAAGTGAATGTCTCCCCGCAAGTGCTCCACTACAAACCCAAAAAGAGACCAAATTCCTTTGGGGTACACGCATTAGTTAATGCGTCCTGCAGCATCAAATACCTTATACTTTTATGTTTGGCATAATATCTAAATTAACCCCAATACTTACCAAAATAGTCATATTGGCCTATATTCTTTTCTTTTTAAAGTATTTTAGCCTTATATTTCATTTTAGGGTAAAAGAACTCCATATTTTTTAACATTAATAGTTTATTAACTAAAGGTTTCCATCTATAAAAATATTTTTTTATTTCAAAAATAAAATGTTAGGATTAAAATGCTCAAAAAAAATAATAGGGACCAAAATAATTATTTAGTCAAAGATTAAAGGATTTTTTTTACATTATTCCTATATATTTTGAAAGGATTTTTCAATGCCCTCTCTCTATATATATATATATTCAACCTTAGAGGACTCTCGGGTATTTCTCACTCGACTCATTAACTCGGTTCTTCCGGGCAAAACTCAATGGCTCAGTTCCAGGTTATGACCACGTTGACACTTCTGCTTGCTTTGGTACCAAACTCGATAGCTCAAAGCCCCACCGCATCACCAGCATTGTCACCCTCCACCGGCGGCGCTCCTCCGCCAGCAGCGACTCCAACGTCGTCACCGATGTCTAGCCCTCCTCCCATGGTTTCGACAACTCCAAGCCCATCAATGGCTCCTACTACACCGTCCCCATCAACCTCAACGGTACCAATCCCATCAATGAGTTCACCACCTTCACCCATGGGAATGGCTCCTTCGCCATCTATTGCTCTTCCCCCTGGATCACCTGATTCCTCCCCCGACAATGCATTGGCTACGCCTCCGGTTATGTCCACACCGAGTTTTGCCGCTTCAACGTATGAATATAGCACGTCTTTGTTAGCGTTGCTTGGAGCCGTGGCACTATTCTTTTAGCCCACACCATGTTTTCTTAAAATTTTCTATCTTTTTTACGTTTACTTTATGCAGACTAAGCTATTTATTTATGTACGATTTATTTGTGCTTCATCTATTCTCTCTTCTGGTTCATTCTTGGAGCTGAATTTGTGATTTGTTGGGATATTTCTTCTTGGAGATTTACGATGGATTTTAGCATTTTGACTTGCATGAATAAATGGAGACTTTGTGTGATCCTTGTTTTTCCGTATTGTAATAATTAGTGTTAAATCTTTAAGTAATTATAAGGTTATCCATTTGATTTTTGCTAAATAAAATGGAGAAAGTAAATGGTGGTTAATGTGAGATGCAAATGAATCTTGGGAGGAAGAAAAAGGTATGGTGACTTTGTGGGTGACTATGAGAGATGAAGATTAATTCAACTTTTGGAAAAGAAAGGGGGAAGTTACCTTTGGGGTGCACAACTTTTTCATTTTATGCATAATGTAAAACAATTGTATTCTTAGGTAAAAATCGTTAGTTTTTTTTGTCTTAAAATGAAATATTTTGAGTTAAAATACTTAAAAGAAAAAGAAAATATGGCAAAAATGACTATTTAGTCAAAAATTAACGGCATTTTTACCATAAAGTAAAAGTTGTGTGACAAATTTTTTTTATTATTGTTCGCGGTGATTATAATGTAGTATATGTTCAAAAGATTTTCTACTATTTGACAATGAACGCAAACACTCATGCAAATGACATGCTCGAACCTAAGACCTCTAGGGATAACAACAATCCCTCTAACCATTGAGATCAATTGATTTGTGCATAGACGAAAATATTAAAAAGAAGATTAAAATGACTATTTGATTAAACATTAAGGATATTTTTAACGACTTCTTTTTAGTGGTGCAAAAGCTTTAATTTAAACGCGATACGATATGAAAACATAAACTCTATATACAAAAATGAAAATGTATGGATGATAGTCTGTACAGTGGACCAGGAAACTCAAAAGACAACCAATTTCCAGTATAAAAGTGTCGGGCACATGGGATGCTTTCCTCACCAAAGAATTAGATACCATCTATCTCATCAAATCTTTCTAAAATTCAATTAATGGAAATGTAGTGTCAAGGGATAAAGCTTAGGGTTTATACTGAAAGAGTGAAGAAATGGCAATTTGACCGAAGTCCAGTAGAAGTTATGGCTACTCAGACAAATCACATGATATCTACTTTAACATTTACTGTAAAAGTAAAAAGGAACAACCAAACACATTTAGATATCCTGTGTGAGTCTTCGTTATTTCTTCAGGAAGTCCTGTTGGAGTAAAAATAACAAACATTTCTGTCACGTCTGTCGTGATTTCTAGATAGAAAGGAATTAGCTTGCTGGCCTACAATCGAATGGTACATAGAAAATCGAATTGAGATTAGTCAGAGGTGGACATATCCGAATGAAACACGAGGCCGATAATCATTGTCTATTTTCCTCTGTTTCCTTCAGCAATGGAAGCATTCTGAACAAAGAGGTTTCATTTTACTCGAGGAGTAGCTGGTTTGGAACTTGCTGGGTGGTATTTTCAGGTCTTCCATGAGTATCTGATGAAGCTTATGATTCTCCTGCATAAGTTCTTCAATGATTTGTTGATGCTTCAATACCTGAATGAAAATAGAAATTTCATTACAAACTAAAACAATTCCAAACAAGACGAAGAATGCAAACATGAACTGTGCTTTACTATCGATTCTAATTGAGTCTTTATGAATCAAATGTGCGTCGAAACCTAGCAACATCTACCGTGTATAAATCCTCTGGAGAGATACAGTTACTGTTTTAAGTCCAACATTCATGAAACGTCACATCTGATTATGCTTGAATTATGCCAATATTCAACGATCTTTGCAGAGGACAAAAACCAAATAAGGAGCATTACCAATTGAAGCATGTTGTTTTCGGTTCGCAACCTCCCGGCCTACAAAACAACCAAAACCGAGTTAAGTATCGCTGCTGCCTACTGCAATCACCGATAAACAAAACCGAAAACAAATGCGACAGCTTGTGGCATGTTAAAGAATGTTCTTTTGATTGCTTTCCATTCCCAGATACTCTTTCAGTTGCTGAAGTGAAAATTAAACCCATACACCTCCATAAGATGTTATATAAATGACATTCCACATGCACAAGTGTTAGGTATGACTCATATAGCAGTTGGAGGATAGATGTTGGAGCGGAGTGAGCTAGGATTAAGTGGGTTGAGGATGCGGGAGCGAATCCCGTACAGTACGGTACGGGATTATTTTGGTAATTGTACAAGGGTTGCTTTTATATTATATAATTGTAACCTAATTGTGAATGATTATTGCTAATAATAAGAAAACAGTCGCTCATCGCTCCCGAGGACGTAGGCACCTTGCCAAACCTCGTTAAATCTTTTGTTCTTTATTTTCTTTACAGTTCATTCATTTCATGTGTTACTTAGCCTGATTTCTCAACAATTGGTATCAAGAGCGTGTTGAGATGATTATGTCAGGTGTGAAACTCGAAGTGGTGAAATTTAATGGTCATAGAAACTTTGGATTATGACAAACGAGGGTAAAAGATTTGTTGGCGCTGCAAGGGATTTTGAAAGCTCTACGATCTCAAAAACAGAAATCGATGAAGGAGGAAGATTGGGAAGAACTACAGCAGTGAGAGGCATGAACCATACGATTATGTTTGGCTGATGAGGTTATGTATCACGTAATGAGTATGTCGTCTCTAGGAGAAATATGGAAGAAATTAGAAAGTCAATTTATGTCCAAATCTCTAACGAATAAACTGTATCTAAAGCAGAGGTTGTATGGGCTGAAGATGCAGGAAGGTCATGATTTGGTGCAACACATGAATGTCTTCAATCAAATAATTACAGATTTGAATCAACTTGATGCGAAGAATGAGGATGAATATAGAGCAATGATTATGTTGTGTTCATTGCCTTCCTCTTACGAGCACATGGTGACTACTCTTACATATGGGAAAGAAACAATCAAAGTTGAAGAGATTACTGCAGCCTTGTTGGCTCACAATCAGCGAAAGTAGAATGCAGGGGAAAGCTCTCATATTGATAGTTTATTTATTGAAGGTAATCAAGACCATGGAAGAAAGTCAGAGAAGGAGGGGTCTGGAAAACAAAATTCCAGATCAAATTCTAGGGGCAAAAAGATAATTAATTGCTACAACTGCTAGGAGCCGAGACATATGAAGAGAGACTGTCCAAAGTGGAAAAAAAAGACTGATGAGAAACGTGATGAATTATCCAAGTCAGTGAATGTGGTGTAGGATGACAATACAAATTATAGTGATGGTGATATGCTTTCTATTTCAACAACTCAGTTGATAGATGCATGTATTCTTGATTCATGATTCTTTTATCACATAATGCCTAACAGGGAGTGGTTTTCGACATACATGTCTGTTAATTCTGGTTTTGTCTATTTAGGTGATGACAGATGTTGCAATATTATTGGTATTTGTGAAGTTATAATTAAGATGTATGACGGTACTGTTAGGGCATTATGTGGTTTTAGGCATATATCAAATTTGAAAAAAGAATCTAATTTCCTTAGGCATTTTACATGAGAATAGTTTTATTCATAATGCAAATGAGGATAGGGAAACCATTAGAATTATTAAAGGTGCATTGACTGTGATGAAAGGAAAGATGATTACAGAGAATATCTAAAAACTATTAGGGAGTACAGTTGTAGGTGGAGTTCATTTTGTTGAGTCATATGATGATAATACAAAACTATGGCATATGTGTCTTGCTCATCTTAGTGAACGTGGAATTGTTGAATTGCATAAAAGAAATTTATTGCATGGTGTTAAAAGATGCAAGCTCGATTTCTGCAAGTTTTGTGTTCTTGGTAAATAGACTAGAGTTATTTTCACTACTAGAAAGCACAAAATTAAAGGATTCTTGATAATATGTATTCTGGTGTATGGGGACCTAACAAAAAATATCATTAGGTGAATCGATGTACTATGTTACTTTTATTGACGATTTTTTAGAAAAGTTTGAGTGTATTTCTTGAAACAAAAATCTAAATGTTTTGCCAAGTTTAAGTTGTGGAAAGCTGAGGTGGATAACCAAACTAGTAGAAACATCAAGTATTTGAGGACTGATAATTGCATAGAGTACACTGATTCACAGTTTCTAAAATTCTATGAGGAGCATGGGATTCAGAGGCATTTTATAGTGCGCAAGACACCATAACAAAATGGTGTTGCAAAAAGGATGAACAAGTCATTGAATGAAAGGGCAAGATGCTTGAGATTGAATACAGGGCTTCCTAAAAGCTTCTGGGCAGAGGTTGTGAGCATGGCATGCTACCTCATTAACAGATCACCAAGGGAATCATTGGGTGGCATGGTTGCATAAGAGGTATGGACAGGTAAAATAGTTAATTTTGGTCACTTATAAATTTTTGATTATCTTGCTTATGTGCATCTACCTGGTGATGAGAGATCAAAACTTGATGTAAATTTGAAGAATTGCATCTTTTTGGGCTACAAGAAAGGTGTCAAAGGATACAAGTTTTAGGATCTGATTGCAAAGAAAGTTGTGATCAACAGATATGTAGTCTTTGATGAGTAGTTCATGTTGCAGCAAAATCAAGACAAGGCACTAATGGATTTAGAACAATATACAGTAGCAGCTGAGAGAAAGGAAAGTTTTAATCCAACTTCTGGTGGTTTTAATACAGTTGATTTATAGGATTATAATTTAGCCATAGACAGATAGAGACGGACGAATATAAAGGCTCCAAACAGATTGAGTTTTGAAGACATGGTCCCCTTTGCATTTCACATTAGTAGTTATGATCCAGTTACTTTCCAAGGCGCTATTACTAGTTAGGAGAAAGGGAAATGGATGGCTGCAATAGTTGAGGAGATGAAGTCTTTGCAAAAAAATCATACATGGGAGCTGGTTTGACTTCTTGAGGGAAAGAAGGCTATTGGTTGCATATGGGTGTATAAAATGAAACCAT